CCCCTGGGTGGTACTGGGCTTGAAGGTGGGATGCTCCTCGGAGGCGGGACACCCCTGGGTGGTGGGACTCTCCTCAGAAATGAGCTTGGAGGTGGGATGCTCCTCAAGCTGGGTCAGGCCATCATGGCCTCCAGCAAGTCCTTTCACCTCTCCACCCCCTCACACCTTTAAGTGCTTCCCAGGCAATCACAGGCTCATGCGAGTCAGCTTGGAAGGCCCTCGGGAGGTCGCTAATCCAACCTCCTACCCAGGGCAGCTGTGGGGTTGGAGCAGCTTGCTCAGGGCTTTATCCAGTCTGGTCCAAGGATGGAGCCTGCAGGGGATGGACGTGCCTAAGAGTGCTTCGGCATGGGAAAGGGTCTGGAGATAGGGCCGGGGCAGCGGCTGATGGTGGCAGAACTTGGCCTTGTGAAACAGGGTTTGACCAGCTTGAAAAGTGTTATTAAAGGGGCTGGGTGTCTTTATTTTGAAAGTACAAATGCTTCCCAAATGCTCCGTATTCCCCAAATACAGCTGACTTTCTGAGGCCAAAGCACCGACACCATGAGCTGCTCTGGAAAAACTCTCCCCTCAGCCTACAGCGGCGCAAAGAGGAGCCACAGCTCGGATTAAAATGACTCTTTAAATGGAAGATGCTCAGGGGCCAACTTTGTCAAAGTCTGGAGGACTTTGAGGCCCCGTTCCTGTTAGTTTACCAGCCAAATGCTCTGAATATTTTACCCCAGTTTTTTTCCTCTTCCACCTGAAATGATCGTTCCTGGCAGGAGGACTGGATCGGTGATTTCCGCATCCATCCCCGTGGTGTTTGGTGCAGTCAGTGCCGGTCTCTTGGAAAGAGCCAACAACGGGACCAACAACTAACAGCTCCCGCGTGGTTCAGTAAAGAGATGAAATGCGTTTCCCGGTGAGCGTTATGATGGGGTCTCCCACCGTTAAACAAACGAACCGCTTAATGCTTTAACGGGAAAACAGGGCGTCACTAACATCCCAAACCCAGTTCTTGGACAAAACCAAACCTCTTTCAGGTTCTTTGGGCTCGAGGTAACGTCTGTGTGGGTTGTGAGCTCTTCTGACCTCCATGGAAAGATCTGAGAAACTCGGATCCAGAATAACATTTAATATATTATACTAACTAGGAAGAAAAAGGAAAACCCCAACCCTGTGAAATTCCCATGTAAAAAACTGTTCAAAGTCAGGAAAACGACAGTCGAGTCTCAGAAAACACCCTGATGTTGTAAAACAGCCACCTCAACCTCAAACTTTTGAAAACACTTGAGCTACACCCACCCCACCAGAAAAAGGTGATTTGAAGGCCCTTTTCTCCTCTGCCTCGCTCCAGGCCACGTTGACTTGGTGTCCTCCAAAATTACAACAACAGAAAACTCACTTTTTTGGATTTCCCATTAAAATCTCAGCCTAAAGACCACAAGGCTTTTGGAGTTGAGGCTTTGGAAGAAACAGCGAATGCTGTGAGAAGGGGCAAAAAGGGAGGAGATGAGGGAAGGAATCGTCCTTGCCTCTTCCTCATGGTGCTCCGTCATGGTCGCCGAAGGGTTGAGGTGGGATCCTCATGGTGCGCCGCCATGGTTGAGGTGGCATATGGAGACCCTCTTGTCCAACCTTGCTGCTCCACCAGGGCCACCAGAGCATGTTGGCCAGGCCCATGCCCTGGGGGCTAGCAGCAGGCCACGTCCTCGCCCCGGTGAGTCCAGCGGTGCCGTGGGAGCGTGGAGCTCTCACTGACATGCTGGCCGCACTGGCCGCGTGGGAAGGGCCGCTTACCCGTGTGCAGGCTCCGGTGCTTCAGCAGGTAGGAGCTGAGGCTGAAGCTCTTGCCGCAGTCAGCACAGCGGTAGGGCCGCTCGGCACTGTGGGTGCGCTGGTGCCGCATGAAGGTGGAGCTGTTGGCGAAGCCCTTGCTGCAGGCCGGGCACTTGCAGGGCCACTCGCGCCGGTGGATGCGGTTGCGGGTGATGAGGTAGGAGCTGACGGCGAAGCCCTTGCCGCACTCAGGGCAGGTGTAGGGCTTCTCGCCCGTGTGCACCCGCTGGTGGATGGTGAGGTGGGAGCGCCGGGAGAACCACTTCCCGCACTCGGTGCACACGTTGGGCTTCTCCTGCCACAGCAAGGCCTGGCTGCTCTCCTCCGCGGGGGCAGAGGTGGCTCTTGGCTCTCCGGGTGCCTCCTCGATGACTTCTCCCAGCTCAGGACCTGGTGGAAAGGTGTCTTCTGCCCTCTCCGGTGCCTCCTGGGGTGGTCCCAGATGCTCGGGACCCGGTGGAAAGGCACCTTCTGCCCTCTCCGGTGCCTCCTGGGGTGGTCCCAGATGCTCGGGACCCGGTGGAAAGGCACCTTCTGCCCTCTCCGGTGCCTCCTGGGGTGGTCCCAGATGCTCGGGACCCGGTGGAAAGGCACCTTCTGCCCTCTCCGGTGCCTCCCCAGATGGTCTCAGGCGCTCAGGACCACCTGGGCAGCTCTCAGCCGTGCCGTTTGCCATCCCGTGGCCTGCTGGGATGAGTTCGGAGCTAGGATCGGCACTGTCCCGGGCTGAGCCCAGCCTGCCTCCCGCACCCTCCCCGCCGCGGAGGGACGGATCCTGCCCTGCGGGAAGGGTCAGCGTCCGGCCTCGGCGCGGGAGGACGGGGACAGGAGCAGGCACGGGCGGGGGGGGGGGGGGCGGGGCGCGGACA